TCAGAGAGGAAAGATGGGTCGAATGGTACCTTGTTTTAAAGGTATTTTGATTCTCGTCACAAGGGCGTATTTTTTTGAGAATTTCATACATCTGCCAAAACTGGTATTTCAACAATGAACTGACATGTTTTGATTGTTGATTTGAACCAATCAGATTGCAATTACGCGATAATTTGCACTAGTGCAAATTATCAGATAATTGCATAGTAACTGGTGCGAAAACTGGTGTTTTGACATTTTTTGACAAAAAATTTAAATTTTTGATTTATGAAATTCTCTCATTAAATACAACTCGTGCAATGAAAATATATTTATAATTCTCGACAAATTTGCACTCATGCGTTTTTAACTGAAAAATGCATTCGGGCAAATTTCCCAAAAATTATCAATAATTTCCATTGCACTAGTTATATTACTATTGATAATTTAATGATAAGTTCTCAAGATAGGTATTCACTGTCAAAGTTGCTATGGGCTAAATAAGAGTCCGAGAGGATAGTGCAAGAGAAAGTGTTAATTTGATATTAACAGGGCCAGCAAATTGGGTTCACAAGATCAATGAAAAATACAAGTATACTTATTTTCCCAGTCATAAATATTTCACATTTACTACAATAGAACATAAAGCATATGAAAATAGCAATTTGGCTTATCTCAGATATTGGAAAGTGAGTCTAGCTGAAATTTTTCGGATCTTCAATTTTCCACTTGTCAGACGTATTATCCATACTCACAGATTAGCCGGACTATTTTTTTACGTAACTTCAGTATACTGCTCATTAGTAGAAGTATTTTTATCACTGGAAAAAAAAGGGCCGTGCATTCGTAAGCTCTAACGCATTTTGCGCCTCAACCCATTGGAAACCCCCCCCCCCCCCCTAAAAATATATGAATTTTGCTTCGAATTACTAACCCTACAATTCTATCCATGTTGTCTGACTGGGAAAATAAGTGCCGGAAATCGTCACTGCCTCCTAGACTAAAATGATTCTTCAAATAGCTAGCAGTGTATGGTTTCTGGAATATTTAAGACATGAGGAACATATTTATTATCATAAAAATATTCTTTTTCGCTTCGTTTTAGATGCTGCAAATCGGTATGAACCCGAAATAGTAAATGCTTATTAAAAATTAAAACTTCAAAGGAGCTTTGTGGGTCCCCCGGAATAAATTCACAAAAAAATAGGTAGGTACCTAGCTAAAGAAATATGCTTCTAATGACGTAAACAACAATACTTATTTATAGGAATTCAAATATCCATCCGTTGATATTCATCGAAACATACCTATTTTCAATATTGTTCATTATAGGTACACCCTGTATGTTATCTAAGCAAGTCGTTATTACTAAATTGTGGATCTCCTACATTTCTACATACCTATATTATTACATAAATGATCTATTTCTGCTTATCATCGCATAAAAAAGAACCGCAACATATGGAAGAATCAAAAATTCGCTTAGAAAGAGCATTTTCGTGCCACCCGGTATAGTCACTAAAAACTCATAGGGTAAAAAATGTTTGAATTGATATAGGCTAAAACATATCCAAAAGTTTCAATAATCGACCGGTGCCTAGGATTACACGTTTCCAGTGCCATGTCATTTTGTTGATCGACAACATAGCAACATAATGATTTTTTCTGCGATTGACAAGAAATGTCAGCATTTTTGTCCGGTTGACAGGTCGCAAAACTCAATATTCTGGTATTTTAATTATGTTTCAATAGTTGCTAAGGAATCAATGAATAACAATACGGGAAACACTTTTCCGGCCTAGGCCGGGAAAGTGATTCTCGTACTGCTGAATAATTGTAACCAAAAGACAAACATTTAACAAGTATTTAACCGATCGCAGAAAAAATAGTATGTGTATTTCGGTGGAAAAGCACATTATCGGCCAACGGTGTAAGTTGACGGGCGAGGCGTAGCCGAGGCCGGCAAACACCGAATGTGTCACTTTTCCACCTAAATACACAATATACTATTTCTAAACTAAGTCCCTAGTAAAATACTGCGAACAGGTATAATGATTCAGGAAATTTTCTTATAAAATATGACTTGTGCAATAAAAATAAATCTATAATTTTTAAAAAATTTGCACTCATGCGTTTTTAATTGAAAAAGGCATTCCGGCAAATTTCCCAAAAATTATTGATAATTTTCATTGCACTTGTTATATTACTACTCAAAATATCATTCTTACGCCAAAATTCATGTTTCTGAATGTAGAATAAAATTATTCTTTATGCTTTTTCTATTCGACATTCAGGGATATGATGCGGTGAACAATGCTTTTTAAAAGATTTTTTCAATATGGTCTTATCATACCTATAGTCTATATCGGTAGATGGAGAAATCACCGAACTATTTTTTTCAAATTATTGTCTATGAACGCGCGAATAGCAGACAATTTCATATTGAAGATATAACAAATATTGCCAATATTATCAAAAAAGATTTCTTATCGTATGGTATTTACAACCAAGAGCGAATTGTCAGATAATCTTTCAAAAAACATTCTTAAATCCAATGTATTTCTAGGAAAGCCTTTCACAGTTGCTTGGCAAAACACTTGCTATTCGAACCAAACCGGATAATATAGGAGAACTTGCTAGCACTCGAGCAGAAGCTGACATGAAGATGCTTTTACTAGCAATATGTTCCCAGAAACAGTTTCCATTTTGATTTTGAAGTACTACGATATTTTCAACTCTCAAGTTATTTTCAACACGGAAACTGGACCCAAAAAACGGAAAATTAATATTTCTTCTATAGTAGAAAAAATGACGAAACTACCCGCCCTCTATGCATCATCTAGTTGTGATAATACTTAACTACTGGAGAATTTTCAAGGAAAGGTAATAGTATGTTCACATCAGACCTACTAAGCCACAGCCGTGAGGTTACAAGGATAATGCTAGGTCAACTAACCCAATTTTAAGGTGGTCTCATTCACTTAGTGACCAAATATTTTTTTCAGGAAAGCAAACATTTTAAAAAAATTTCAAAAAGTCATCTGAAGAGATGCTGATACGCATTGGCAAGTCTTGGTGATATCATGGTCAACTTGGACAATATATTTTCTGATATAGAAAAGTTAGTGGGTTTATCATATACACCGAAAACAAGTACTGGCACTTTAGCTGACCTACGTTAGTGGTGTTTTTCAAAACATCAAATGCAAAATGATGAGCTACAAAGATCGAGGTTACAAGTTTTTATATAGACACATGCTCATTTAACTCATGTGCCTTATCTAAATTCATTACATTCTGCTTGGACCAAGGATACGAACAATTTATTCAGTCCAGTCCTATCACTAACTTTAAACACTGCACCGTATGACCTTCTGAATTTAATATCTTGTTTCTGCAAAGAGAATAAATGCAGTAAAAGACGATGCAAATGTGTAGCGAACTTAAAATGCACTGAAATATGCACATGTGATGCAGAAGAAGATAGGTACATGTGAAAATCAAACATCTGAAGAAGCTGAGCCCGATTCTGATTCAAGCAATGGCGAAAAGTAAATGAGCTTGTATATATTCTATTCACAATATTCTGTTATCGATAGACTTATGAACATGGATATATTCTTATCCTTAGTTTATAGGTCTATGGTGTTATGTAGATAAAATATACAGGGTGTCCCCGTTCAACTGGTCAAAAATGCTAGGGTATACCTATAGAAGAACCATAGAGAAGTTGTTTGAGATAGGGTACCGATGGTCGGAAGTGCGTCATTTCCAAAATACAGGGTGTTGAAATTTAAACACCCCGTTTCATATTATCTGAAGGGCTATTGCTAGGCTGTTCAAATTTTCAGGGATTATTGATTTAGGAATGATATTTAAGAATTCGTATAATGCACCCCCATTTCCTACCTGTAACCACCCAAAAAAAAAAAATGGAACAAATTGCTTTTTTTTTTCAAATATGATTTTTTATTTTTTTTTTTTTTTGGTGGTTCCAGGTAGAAATAGGGGGTCATTATACGAATTTTAAAATATCATTCCTACATCAATAATCGCTGTAAATTTGAACAGCCCTTCAGATGATATTAAAGAGGGTTCTTTGAATTTCAACACCCTGTATTTTGGAAACGACGCACTTCCGACCATCGGTGTCCTATCTCAAACTACTTCTCTATGGTTCCTTTATATACCCTAGCATTTTTGACCTGTTGAACGGGGACACCCTGTATGTAGGTATTTGTATTATCAACAATACCAACAAAGCATTGTTTTAATTATTAAACTTGTGCATCAGTGATTTGTTGGCCTAGAATAGACCTATCTATTTTTACCTGTATGCGCGCGCAACACGAGGCAATGCATTTTTATTGGCTAACTAATACAGGTGAGAGGTGTTCGTTTTGCACGCTGGGCATCTCCTTGTCTTTGTTTATTGCCTGTGGTCTGACAAGGATCAGAATTATGGTTGATAAATAACTTGACGTAGCTTGACAAGTGATCGATTGTCAATTGTTTGTGTTTTTGATTGACAAATACGTTGCACGTCACACGGTTTTCCTTCTTCCCTTTTTATCCCGTAAGTAAGTATAACATGGTTTGGTACGTTTTGCCTCGTCTTGCGCAATAAGCGTTCTGCGTCTTTTTCTATCTAATAAAGTTTTCGTATTATTACCTCTTTGTCTGGTAAAATAGATAGGTCTATTGGATTGACTAAAGATATGGTGTATTTAGAGTACTACTTTTTTTGATATGTTATTTAGGCACTAAGTATTATGTTAGTCAGGCACATTTAAGAGTGCGCTTCTCGATGCTGAAAATCGCGAGTGCGCCTTTGCTATTTTAATAAAAACAGTTGCATCTAGGAAATTTTAACCGATAACTTTTTTCAAGGATATGTTTATGCGCGTGTTTGACCAGTAAAATTTTTCAGATTTTTCTCATTTTATGAAATTTTTTTTCTAAAAAATGAGAAAAATCAAAAAAATAATACCTACTGGTCAAGCATACACAAAAGTACATTCTTAAAAACAGTTTTTGTTAGGATTCCCTATATGCAACTGTTTTTATTAAAACAGCATAGTCGCGAACGCGAAATATCTATTTTTTCAGCATCGAGAAGCACACTCTTAACTATAAACTTCGTTGACCAGTCAGAAACAACTACTTACTCCGAGGGCAAATTTCATTAAAAACGTAATAAACAATTTCATTCTACACTGAAATTCATAAATTTTGCCGTAAGAACGATATTTTTATCTTTATTCGTGCCAAAGATAGAGCTATTTCAACCCCTCCTTGCCAACTTTAATCAATAGGTTCCCACGAAAATCCCTATGCGCCTCCACTATAACTATATGAAACGGGGACCCAAATTTATACTCTGACAATATCGGCACTAGAAGATTTTATTGGTATTACTTACCAGCGAAATGGTATAATAATATGGGCTCCACAGGCGGCTTTAGAATTGAAAAGTGAACAAAAACTCCTAAGACCAATCGTTTTGAAGCTTATACCTACTAAATAATAGTAACCTATTAACACAGAAATAGATATATTATGATGGAACCTTGATAATCTAAATAGACAATTTCACTTTCTACAACTATTGACAATGTAAAAGTAAAAGCCAAATTTTCTATGAGCCCCAATGTGTTAAAAATAAAAGTGGCCGTGTTAAATTTAAATGCAAACAAAGGACTTTATATGTTCATAAAATAGCTTTTTGCCAACTACTTTCAAAGTTAACATTCAGGAAACAGTTATTGCTAAGACTCTAAGACTGCTGCGGCATCCAAAAATCCAAAGAAAAGACAAAATGCTTAAGTTTAAAACAATACTAGTGTTACTAGCAATTATTGCTATTTGTGCTGCAGATCGTGGAATAAAAAGATACAAGAAAAAGAAACATCATTTACGTAAGTAATAGAAATGGAAAATAGGACTTTAATTGATAACGTATATTCAATTCCAGGCCACCACCACTTTTTGTATTACCTAACCTTTTTGGCCGTTAAATTGAAAATAGTCTTTATCCTTGGAACAATATTCACCGTTAGTTTGGTTGCGGCCAAAATCGTAGCTATACTCAAAATATCTGAATATATGAAACGTAAGTAAATATTTTTGAACCACCGTGAAATTAAATTTCTGGATTTGTAGATAAATATCACCATGAAGAAAAAATTATTTATTCGAACCCATATGAATCTCACGATCACCACGACTGGGGTGGTTCTCATGGAGGATATTCATTTCCATCAGATATAAGTTCAAATAATTATGAATCATTCCCACCAGGTAAGAATCCTTCTGATAATAATTTGATCATTTCATATTTTATTTTGTAATAGATATTTCAGTTGATCATCCTCCAGAAGACGCTTACAACTATGATCGTTCTGGACCACATCAATCTGCCAGAGATGTTCAAGGAAGCATTAGTACTGGAATTTATGACCAAATTATGAGGATAGGGGATCATTTAAGACAGTTAGTATAAAAGTTTGGTAGTTTTTTTATAAAACTTTTTTCCTGTGTTTTTGTTTTAGATTAAACCTAACAGATATAGCCCTAAACGATATGGGTATTAAGGACGAAAATTGTAAGAAAAAATTCGTATGCAAAGCGGATTACAATGCTCATAGAAATATAATTTTACAAACCGGATTTAGCATACTAAGGTAAAACAATTTCGAAAATTTTAATGAGAAAAATAATGTTTATAACAAATTTTCAGAGATGCTTCTTATCAGAAATATAAACCAAATGCAACGGCAACATCTGAAGAAGCCTGTGATGAATTATATCAAGAATGTACTGAAAATGTAGATTAAAATTAATCTTATGTATTTATTTATTTATTTATTGTTAACAATAAAAGCAAAAAATGATCAAAATTCTTACCTGTATACCAATTAACATTATCATAAGCCACAGGGATAGCATGCATATTATGAATGTTATATTGCATGGATTCATCACTAGATGGGCTATTTATCAGCATATGACACACCCAGTGTCCATACCCGATGCTGCCCTGTTGATGTTGGCCAAGTTGAGTGCTGTGCCTAAATAAATCCATAGCTTCAGAGTTGCCCATAATCTCTGCAATTATTCCTTGTCCTATCCAGCTATTCACATAAGAAGGATCAGCTCTTTGGCCCTCTCCAAATGCTTTATTAGCCAATTTTAAATCATCCATAAGCAAATAAAGAATTCCCAAGTTTGTCCAAGCGATTGCGCTATTACTTTCAGCTATAACTGCTTTAATGAAACTGTGTTGAGCTAAAGCATAGTTGGGCGAGCTTTTAAGCATCGATATTATCCCTAAAGTGTTCCAATGTTGCCAATTTTCGGGGCTCAAATTAGTGCAATGTTCTGCTGCTGCAGTTGCATAACCAAATAGTTCACATTTTTTCTGGTTATCTTCAATATGGCCAGCGTAACGGATATAGCAATTTGCAAGATCGTGCCACAGGAAAGTGTCGTTGTCTGATAAACTGACTGCTTTACAGTAAAATCTGTACATAGTAAATTATGAAATTAATATTCTGGAAATTGTTATTGAATAATTATTGTACTTACTTTATAGCCATGTTAAACAATTCTTCACTTTCCAAAAATGTAAACTCGTTTGATTTGTTGGCGCTGAGTAATGTTTTGGATATTTTAAGAAAAGAATATTTGTCAGGTAGTTTGGCAACAAAGAGTACACAATCAGCTAATAGTTTCCAGAGGCAAGTGAGTTCACTTCTTTGTAAAATCGCTCTAAAAAAGAAGAATGATAATACAGTTAAAATCACTCACTATAATTTATAATATAAGCTTTTATTTAGTAAAATAATGTTTTAAATATTGTGAGTCAGCATACGCACACACGCAGTCGGAAACGGATAGTACAGTGACAGTTTCGCAACGAGTCGAAAATTACCGGTGGTTTCAACCCCTAAGGTGCTATCCAGAACCTTCAATTAACCGCGAACATCCAAGAACCATCCAGGCGAACAGTTGGAATCGAGAAAGGACGCAGAAAGACAGAACTCTATAAGTGCTTTGTATTCTTTTTTGCCCCTCCTGAACCCTTTGTTTGAGGATTTCTTATAGGGATAGTTAGGTCAGTGTATTATATACAAAATAATTTTGATTTCAGTCTATTGGAGACAAGTAGGTTATTTTAAATTTTTATCATCGATTTCTCAATCAAGATTATTCAGTTTAATCTAAAATACAATAAACACTTTTATTATAGAATTAATTATTAATGGTAGACACAGATATTCTTGTAAGAGATCTTCTGAATAGCGAACACTTTCTGATTCAGAGTCAAATACAGAAGTAACTATGTCTGAATTCAAATACGATATATTCAAATCCAGATTAGACAACATAAAGCGATATGACGGCGATGTAAATCAACTCAATAAATTTTTGAGTAGGTGTGAAAATTTTATCCAAAAATATAATACTTTTAATGATGCTGAATTAAAACCTCACGTTTTTCAATGTATCCAATGAAAACTAATTGGCAAAGCCGAAATTATGATTGGCCGACGAATGGAATTAGATACTTGGGATAAATTGAAAAATGCTCTAATAAAATGTTTTTCTGATAGAAGAGATATTGATTGCCTTGTTCAAGAACTGACATAAGTGCGACCTTTTAAAGGTGAAAATTCAATCAGTTTAAGTAACAGGTTGCAATGCTGGTTGTGCTGGCAACTTACGAAATAATATATATCTAAAGAAACCCACAAGCCTAGAAGATGCAATCGCATATGTAACCGAATAGGAAAATTTTGAAAAGTTATACGGTAACTGTCACGATACTTCAAGTAAGCCAAGACCAAGTGTAGTTATGACCCGAAACAATAATAATTATAATAATTATTCAGGTCATAATTACGCTCAAAGATCTTTTCAAAATCCACCCCAAAATCAACAAATTTTCCGACCACAAACATTTAATTAAAGTTCACCCCATATTCAACAATTTTTCCGACCACAAACGTTCAATCAAAATTTTGCACCAAAACCATCATGACCCTCTCAACCCGTAAATATTCAGCCTAGGCAAATGCCATCGCAAAGGTTCCCTACAAATAGTCAAGTATTCAGTCCTCCACAAAAAGTCTTCAAACCAATGTCAACAACTTCCAGAAACCCTTCACTCAAAACAAACAGAACTAACTTCGATAATAGAATCGAAGAATTATATAATGAAGAAATCGATGAGACTGAAGAAGAGTTCACCTCGAATTATGAAAATTTCTATGGAAAACCTTCATTCAATAACTATGACCCTTCTTTCAATAACTTCGACTCTTATTATAATACAAGTGAAAATATTATTCCTCAAAATGCAAGTGGAGAAAATTCTACAGAAAACGTAAATTTTCCGGAAATAAGCCTAGAAAATCCCACAACCTAATAGAAATAAATATTGCTTCAAACAACGCATTACCATTCATTCAAATTGAAAACCCCAACGTAAAATTGTTAATTGACACCGGCAGTACACGTTCAATATTAAACCCTGCCATAGCAGAAACCTTTTATCCACACCATGAACACAATCTCAAAACAGCTATAGGAAGTAGATGTGCAAACTTTCGAGCTTTAATTCCTATATTTCCAGATTCCGGCATTGATAGGAAACTAGATATTATTCCTTTTGATTTTCATGACTTCTTTGATGATATATAGTATATATATATAGTATAATAGGCAATAATGACCTAATGAAATTGAATGTAAATATTGATCGAACAAATAAAAGATTAATTGATCCTAATCTAGAAATACCCTTTAACTATAGAAAAGCTGATGAGGTCAACTTTTCCTCCTCTGTGAGCCCAAAAGAAAAAGTTTTGAAAAATCTACCCGTCAGCATCTATGAAGGTGAAATTTTAACAAAACCTTGTAAAGTTGATAACTTATACATTCCCCAAATTTTAAAAATTGCCAAAGATGGATTTGCACCAATAGAAATCGAACATCAAACTGATAGAACTATTAGCGTCACCATGGATCACCCTTTACCAGTGAATTCGTTCGATTTAAATCTTTATGAAATTTATTCAATGGGTCATTTCCATACTTCGATCCAAAAATCTAATTTCCCACATTATAATCAAAACATCAATCCCTTATTGAGAACCGAACACCTCAATTGCGAAGAAAAATCCTTATTATCTAAATTATGTAATAATTATTCGGATATATTCTTAAAATCATGAGGCGATAAACTCACATTTACCTCTAAAAGAAAACATGATATTAAAACAACCGACGACATCTCGGTTCATACGAAAACTTATTGTTTTCCGTACGTACACAAGATAGAGTTCAAAGACAAATAAACGAAATGTTAGATAAAGGCATTAAACGTCCATCCTGTAGTCCGTGGTCAAGTCCAATTTAGATTGTGCAAAAGAAAATGGACGCTTCGGGTAAAGTAAAATGGAGAATTTTTTGTGATTATAGAAATCTAAATGCTGAAACAATTAATGATAAATATCCAATTCCCAACATAAACGACATCCTAGACAGGTTAGGTAGAGCTTAATATTTTTCGAAGCTCGATCTAGCTAGTGGGTTTCATCAAATCGAAATAGAAACAGATTATATTGTTTTACAGTTTGATAATGGACATTATGAATAGCTACGAATGCCCTCCGGATTAAAAAACGCACCTTCTACATTCCAGAGAGTTACGGATGAAGTCCTAAAAGAACTCCAAAACAAAATCTGTATAGTCTATATGGACGACATAATTATTTTCAGTACAGGATTGCAAAAGAACATTCAAAATTGAGAATTAGTATTTTCCAAATTGATAGAAGCAAATTTCAAAATATAACTTGACGAAAGTGAATTTTTAAGAAAAGTAGTTGAATTTTTAGGTCATGTTGTCACAAAAAGTGGTATCAAACCAAACCAAAAAAACATAGGCGCCGGAATTTCAAAATTAATATGGGGGCTCGGGCTCCAAAAATTAATATAAGTAAAATTAATTAGACAGACAGGACTAGGCTACTAGACACATAGACTTTAATGGGACCAGTTGGCAGATACCCATTTCACTGCAGGATCGCTACGCTGGATCATTGATCGGCTCTGCAGGTCCCTGCATATGATTAAAATTTGTGCATCTTCGGCAACGCGGCTATACTCGACTTGTGCAGCACCATTGGCGTAGCCAGGATTTTGCCTTGGGGCGAAGGGAAATTTGCAGGAAGTGATCCTTGCAGCTCCGCCGCAAGCGCTACAGGAGGAAAAGCGCCGCAGGCGCGAAATTTTTGAGTCCTTTCACGGTATTTTTGGGACTTCTAATGGCGGGGATGAGGCCATTTAAACAAATTTTGATAAGAATTTATAGTAGAGCGTTACTTATATTATAATGTACGTATTTGAATATTTACGTATGACTTGAATTGATTCTTTGTTTATTTCAATTTGGAATTATTAATAAAATTTAAAGGCCTTTGGGGGAAGGGGGCAAATGCGACTTTGTCCCCGTCCCCTTCCCTGGCCACGCCAGTCGCCAGTGGGCAGCACCGGTTCGATTTGCCTTAACCGGGTACAAACTAATTCGTCTTATTACTCCCTATGTGTCTAGTAGGTTTTCCAGTTTGTATATAAATTGTCCATGATAAACTAGGTAAAAAAGCCAGTGTTGGCTGTTGGTACATCATGATATATTCCTGTTATGTGAACATACCTATCATGAAAACGAACGGAAAGAAAATAAAAATAGAAAATAGAACGACTTATTAAAAATACAGGTTTAAATACTACACAACAAAATATTCAAAATGTTTGTTGAAGTAGGTATAGCAAAAACAACAAAAACATTAAACACACAAGTTTGATATAAAAATGAATAGTTAGGAACAGGAACTCAATATTTCTGTGCCTACCCATTACACCCACTACATATAATACCAAAATCACTATGGGGGCTCGGGGGCTCAAGCCCCCATTGCCCCCATGGTTTCGGCGCCTATGCAAAAAAAGATTGAAGCAGTCCAAAAAATCCCAATACCTAAAACACAACGTGATATAAAATCTTTCCTTGGACTTTTAGGTTATCATCGCAGATTCATAGAAAATTTTGCGAAAATAACAAAGCCTATGACTAAATGCTTGAAAAAGAACGCAAAGGTTGAATACACTAAAGAATTTCTGGAGTGTTTCGAGACATGCAAGAAAATTTTAACATCAGAGCCCGTACTAGCCTACCCCGATTTTTCTAAACCATTCGAATTAACAACAGATGCTTCCAAATTTGCTATAGGAGGAATCCTGCTCCAAGACAATCATCCTATATGTTACGCTTCACGGACATTGAACCCTGCTGAAATAAACTACTGAACGATAGGAAAAGAACTTCTAGCGATCGTATGGAGCTGTTAATATTTCAGGCCCCATTTATTTGATCGTAAATTTATCATCCTTGCCAGAGCTGGGCAGGGCTTGAGTGCTTTGTGCTTGTCAAAGTGCTTGAAGCACTTTGAGGACTTGAAAGCCCTGTGCTTCAAGCCCTTTTATAGATTTGTAATTGGGGCTTGCAAAGTCAATTACTTTAGAAAAGTGCTTGGTAATTTGTAATTGAAAAAAGCAATTCAAGCCCTTTCAATGAGCTTCAATTACTTTTAGAGGGCTTGAAGCACTTTTGGGAGCATGAAGCACTTTGAAAGGGCTTGAAGCACTTTAAGAGGGCTTGAAGCACTTTTGGGAGCCCAAAGCACTTTGAAAGGGCTTGAAGC